GACATCTATGACGTTGTCCGGCTCCTCAGTCGGGGCAGGGGAGTGTCTCTCTTCCGGCCTGGGCTCTATGTATTCTTTCAAGTATCCGTCTCAGACCAATTTTTCCAAGAACGATTTGTATACCCTGCAGCTTTCGGTGCGATGTCCAAAATCTCGATGATAGGAACACCTAACCTTTTGATCACGGGTGGAGGGATCGCTCTGCATCCTGGGCGGCCACTTGAAGAGTGACTCATGCTTTATCTTATGGAGCACTTGAAGATGGGTTCCTTAAACATAGTGTGAACTCCTTTGAACGCCCCCCCGGATGGGGTAGTAGTCCCTTTTGGGGAGTATCCTCTCGCTCTCTCTCTTTTCTCTTAGGTTGGAGGGTTCGACCTTTGCTGCTTCCTATCTCGTTCTCGATCCTAGAGTACTTATTTATTCGGGCCATCAACTCGCCCATATCCGAGGGAGTCTTCTTGGAGGGATCGGTACAGGTCCGTGTCCCTTGCCAAGCCGAGCCTGAAAGACGCCGCTGCTATGACTTTCGAGCAGCGTTCTACCTCATTAACCTCTTCCCAGTACCAATGGCGTACTGGTGAAGGGTCTCGGATTCCCTACGTCTGAGCGTTAGCAATGATCCAACGTCTTTAGGCCACTTACTCGCCGTAATGAATCGAGCCAGGAACTGCCTCGTCAATTCCTTCCACGATCCAATGTTGTTGGGGGGAAGCGCCTCGAACCACTTCATCGCAGAGTCCCCCAAGCTCATAGGAAACACTCGGCAGAGGAATCGTTAGTCTGAATGATACAGGGACATCATTTGCTTGTATTGCCTGAGATGGGGCTTCGGGATCGGACCACCCATCATAAGTTTTGAACCTCGGCACGATGAACTTTTTTGGAACCTCCATCTCTCCGATCTCCCTGGTAAAGGGTGTTTGTGTGATCCCGTCTTCAACCTCATCCTGGACAGCCTTTCTCTTTCTCCTGGATTCCAACCGGGCTCTGAGATCAATTTCCTCCCCAATGGGATGTCTTTTGAAGTCCCTGAGTTCATCAATAGGTCCCCTATTTCCTGGGCGCCGTGTGGATAGGGTTGAATCCTCCTCGGACTCATCTCCCTTCCTCTATCTCGACAATCCTTGCCAGAGGTCGTCCAGGGCTAAAGGTCTTGCCTTCCTAGAATGGTTGTTAAGAGGGTGCTCGTTGGCTCTCGGTCGCTTTGGGGCCTTGGAGCTTTCTGCCTTGTTATTTAAATGATTCCTTAGATCCTTCGTTTCCGCCTCCCGGGCAGGGAGCCCACGAGAAAGGAATGAGTCCCTCGACCCTTCGCCGGAGGCGGCGAATTCATTGAGCCGGCTTAGGACGTTCACATTGTCATTTTCCAACTGTCGTAATCGATCCCCAAACTTTTTTTCGATCACCTCCGCCAGTTGACGAGCCAAGGGGGCGGATCCTCCTGACCTGATGCCCATACTGGTTTGAGGAGTAAGCCCTCTTGACTGAATAGAGGCATTTTCTATTCTCATCAGTGTGATCCCTCCCTCCATGGTGACATGGAGCTTGTAATTCAAGACTTCTTTGCTGGGGACCTTTCCCTTTTTGTCGAGTATTCACCATGGTCATTGTTCTTTATAGAGAAGAAACTAGGAAAATTAGTCGTTTTCCACAGACGGCGCCAGATTGTGCGTGCTGGATCTTGTACAATATAAATACGAGAACAGATCTCTCCCTTGGTGAACTCGAGTGAGTCAGTCGAGTGGTCAACCCTGCTGCTTGTAACAGCCTGTGAGGTCCGGTGGTAACCTGGAACAATAATGGGAGACCCTCGTGGATCAACGGAACGATCCAGTAAGGCTGAGGAAGGTTCCTGGAATAAAGAAAGACATGTTAGAAGGGCGCCAGAGTATTTTTCGGCGTATCCCCTCCGACGATCAAGTCAATTTTTGAGAGAGAGGAAGAAGAAAACATCGAGTATAATTTGTAGCAAAGGTTTTTTCCTCGTTCTTTTGCCTTTTGTGAGGAGTATTTATACCTCAAATATTCATGATTGCTGTCGGTGTGGTCAGTAGGTGATCATTAGATACAAGCAACGTGCACACTGATTCCTATGAGAAATGTCTTCTCTTTTAACTGCTCGGGATCTCGAGCAACCAAGACTGTGTCATCGGCTTGCCGACTATTCAATGAGCTCCTCTCGGCAAGGATGTAATAAATGTCCAGCCTTAGAGACATTTATTACCTTTCACTTCCGAGCCTTACCGCATTAAATGCTGTCTCATCAAGGGAATGATGTAATTAAATGCTTGCTTTCCCAAGTCGTGTGTCAGCAAGGGCATCCGGTCTTTCTGTCTCTGATGTGACATAATATGTCACGCGTCCATTCCCCATTGGTTGTGTCCCCTGCCTTCTTGTGCCTTCTGACACCATTTGTGTAAGACGAAGTCATGATAGCTAACCTAGCCTAGCCTAGGCTAGTGACCTGTACATCAATAGCCTCTGTAGGAGCAGAGAATGCCATCCTGGACGGTACACCTCGGAACCGAGAAGGAGGTACATCTTGGAGCCAAGAGGGAGGTACACATAGGGACCGATGTACTATATCCCCCCCCGACCGAGGGATACGTGTCGGTACGTAATGTACTGGATGCCATTGATCCCTACGACCAGTGCCTCAGAGGAGAGGGACTTGTGAACCGATGGGTACGTGTCGTGATCACAGTAACAAGAATTTAGTGATACCGAGGACACGTGTCTTCATCTTGGAGTATTTTGGAAATGTCTCATCACTTTCCAATCTTTGTCGCCCTTATTTTTGCAGCTATCTTTCTTGTATATTATCCACAAGGATTAAACTTTCATCAATGATGAGTTTTGGTCAGCTTGGGAATAGAAAACATTGGAATATGTTTCAGAATCATAATTGAAGCACGAAACAAAATTGAAATCTGATTCTACATCATTGGCCAGCACAACCCAAATCAATGAATTTTATTTTTTTCGCATTGGTTCCTTCCACTTTCTACCTAAACTGAAATTTTGGTCAAAATGGATTAAATACAAAATTTTGATCCTCGAAATCTATCTGCAAGGCGTTTGGAAACTGCCATACATTCCGTCGAAGAGGCATGTAATCTCATGCTTTGGATTGCAAAAATCTGAGCTTTTCTGCTTGGGGGAAGGGCAAAGCTTCTATAGAACTCGCAAATAGTGCTTCTTTTCCTTTCTTTTTTCTCCAGTTCCATAGCCAAAATCATCTGCTACAATAAGTCTTGAATTCAGTGAGGGAGAAACCATTTGGTTGAATGTCATGAGGAAGAAATATATTTCAAAAAGATCACACGACAAGGTCTAAATTGTGGTAGTTCTGAAAATAACAGGACAATGATAATCTACTTCAAAATTACCATATTTTAAAACTGTTTTTGCTCTACAGTGATCATTTATGCAAAGAAACTGCTAGGAAATTATTTGTAATTGACAATTTTTATGAAGTCTTATCGTAAATTTCAACCTAAATCCATGGTCATGATTTTTCAAAGATCAAGTTCCAAAAGCTTCAAGGAAGGAGGAGTTCAAACTTCAAAGTCAAATCAAGATATCTCTAATGCACCTTCTTGAGTTTAGGACAAAGGTAATGACCTAGTCACCTAAGAACCCTTGGTTTAATTTTAGACTTTGACTAATTAGGTTAATTGAAATGAATTTGGATTATCCATGAAAAACTCTTAGAGTTTTCATGAAAAAGTTTTTCTAAATCTTAAATATGTTTCGAAAGATAGAATGAGTGATAAATCAGGTCATATTTGAGCAAGACTCCTAAGTGCTCAATATGTCAAGTTTCTATTTGGTTTCTAGGTTAAAAACTAGTAGGGACCATCCTATGCTTTCTTGCCTACAGTTAGAGCAATCTCTGAACACTTTGGAAAAAATTAGAGAAGGTTGACGAGTTGGGCAGTAGTCACTGCCCTTTGGCTGCTCAAGCATCTTGGGATGTCTCAAGCGGTCTCTGCTCCATAGATTTGGTTTGAACCATTTTCTCATTCTAGTGACAATCTTCCTCCCACTGCTCTCTAATGGCTCGAGTGGTAGTTTGGGAATTTGTGTTTACTTGGACTCTAATACAAACCTAATTCTGCACCGATAAATAGGGTAAGTCTTCACAAGTTAGGGTAACTCTCTAATACTCTAAAATACTGCCTCTACAACATCTAGAGAGCCAAGGTCAACTCTAAATCCCTAAATCCAAAAAGGCCAAAACCAACTTATTCTTCCAATTTAAGCTCACCATTTGATGAAGGAGATCTTTTTTGTAGTTCGAAAAAACCCACTTTAGTTGTACATACCGAGGATCTTAGGAGAGGAGACTGCTCAAGGCCAAGACTGTTCCTTGCGGTGAGTGCATCCAAGTGAAGTTACTCAAGACTTTGGTGGGCAAATTCGGAGGAGAGATTTACAACGGAAATGAGCATCTAACCATGGGTACTGGTTGAAGTATAAGATTCAAGTATTTATAAATTAACTTTGCAGTAATGGATTAAACTCTAGGTTAACTGGGTATCAGTGCCGTTGTTTTTCCCAAGGACGGTTTTCGCATCAATAAATTGCTTGTGTTGTAGATGTTTCTTGTTGCTTGATTTTGCACACACACACACACGCACACACACTCACAATTGGACTCACGAAGTTTGATCAAATGTCACATTGAATTATTTAACTTGAACATTCATCAAATTGGGTTTTGTGAGAATTAGTTTTGTTGGAGGGATCATCATTGATGTGAATTGGGTTGTTGAACAATTAATTGACATATCATTGCACCCATTAACATGACGAGTTGTTCTTGATTGGTAAAAAGGGTTCACACACTTAATTGATTAATTGATACTTGTGATGGATTAGGTTCTAATTTCAAAATTGGTGGTTGTCTGAGCCTTAATTTTGATAAACCTATTCACCTCCTTTTGGAGGCATGCTAAAGCTTGATTAATGCAAGGTTGTTCATATTGTGGCAGGTGAATTACTTGATGGGATTGGTAATCTTAATTTGGAGCGTTTTGTCATTCGTGAGAACAACTTCACTGGCCTTATTCCAACCAAATTATTCAATAGTTCAACTCTTAAATCATTGGTGCTGAGTAACAATGACTTCTCTGGTTATCTTCCATTGAGCATGGGGCTTTGGCTTCCCAATCTCGAAAGTCTTGTGCTCGATAACAACAAGCTGAAGGGAATATTTAAGAGATAGAGAAAATGATTAGTGTTAATCGAATTGGTGAATAATATGAAGATATTAAAATTGATCTAATAGTAGGAATTTGAATGCGTATGAGTTATGAATGGGATTTTAAGTCTTACTGATTTGAGCGCAAGATTGAGGATTGAAAATAATATTTCAGAGCTATAACTTGACCCATAGCCCAAATAGTATATTTGGTTATTTACTAAAAATTTTTTAGAGGAAAAATATGGATCATTAGTGAACACATTTTGAAAGTTACAATCAAAGAATATATATGGTGAAACAAGGCATATCTTCACAAAACCTGATGAACCAATGAGAATTCTTACCTTGACACTAATTTTTACTTAATGATTACTAGATTATAATCTATATCAAAGTGCGCGGCGAACCATTCGATTAGATTTAATATTAGTGAAATTAACCATTAGTTATGGTTACAGTGGTGAGCATAAAGAGTATAAGTTTGAAAACTAAGATTCAATGTCTTGGAAAACTTGGTGTATAGTTTGATGGTAATAATTGTTGAGAATCTTGCGGTGTCCACCGAACTACAGAATTGATAAATGTCCATAGGATGTGAAGTTAATATTAGATTTTTAATATTATGAGTTTCTCTAGTCTAGTAAGAGACAAAGTCATTAAAAATGATGCATCTATTTAAGGAATCTTTGTAGATCTTATTGTAATATCATTACTAAGCTTTTTATTTTAACATAATTTAAGTATGGGAATGATGAGTAATCCCATTAGCGAAATTTAATTTGGTTGTTGCGAAATGCTTATGGATAAGCTACATATAAGAAGCAAACCCAGGATTTTTTTTAAATGATTGGTAAATTGAAAAGAGAAGTGATATCCAATGAATAGAAAAGAAGTTGAAGATCTAGTAGTTATGTATGATATGTTTAAGTTTAGACAACCACATGAATTATTGAGGATAAGGGATATGTGACAACAATTAAGAATGGAGGTGATAATGAATGTTGTTGAATGAAGGTAATCTTATTCTTTGTCAGATGGATAAATAATTTATTATTTAATGGTTGTTGTAGTTGCTCTTATTATTGGATGATTTTTAGATAATAATGCCTTCTAGAGTGAATTTTGAGGCATTAGAGTCCCAACACTTAGTCGTCCAGATGTTTCGCGGGAAGTTTTTAACATATTGTCGCAATTATCCAAGATGTAACCTGGTCATCCAAAAAAACGGAGAATTAGGTTGCGGGGTGAACTAATTAGGCTGATCCATTGTGATCGTTGTGGGTGTTTAGGTAGCCACAATAAGAAAACTTGTAATGCGGCATTGTAAGTTTTAACGTTTTCAAATTGATGGAATTACGATAGGTGTTTTAATTACGATTTTTCCATTTTTTTTTGTGTGGTAGACAATGTGGTTATCATTAAAGGTGGCTATATGATGGATATGCCATTTTGATTGTGGTTTCCACGTTGCTTTGATTATGTATGCTCAAAAACAATTACACATTGGTTTTTGGATTTTTTGCTTTCTGTAAATCAATGTCACACTAGAAAGTCACATTGTTACAAGCACATCATTTCATCGTCAAAATTGTTTTTTTTATCAAAGATATAATACGATGTAAAACTGTGCTTTGTTGCAAATAATATATATGGATGTCACATTATGATATCACATTAAGATGTCACACTTTTTCATGCATACTATTTATCTTTTGAATGCATCTGTGAATCCAATTACACATTCTTTTCAAGGATTAAAGTGTTTTTCAAAGTGTAACACTTTAATGTGACACTATAATGTCACACTTTTGTAGTGACTAATGTGTACATAATACACAGTCATTTTTGGTTTATTGACCTGTGGTAGCTAAATGTTATGAGTATAATATCAACAATTCAATAAATACTTGCTTGAAATCCATAAAATTTATAAAACAAACATGTTTGCTACCAATGATGACTTTTAATTTCAAGATCCTCAGTTACAATTGGAATAATTAATCATTTGTCTTCAAATTTTCTTTTCAATTGGTGTTGAAATTTGAAATCTTTTTTAGTCTAGCTCTTTGCATCATTCAGGAACATTGAACACCATTTCACACCAAAAGTCGTTTATCTGTGCCTGTATCTTTTTTTTTTAACTTGCCCTTTTGCAAATTTTTTCATTAGGTAGCAAACATAGACACCGCAATTGAGTCTACACTATGTTTGAATTCATTGATATCGACATTTTATTGGCTTGGTTGAAAGCAACAGTGAATAATTCATAAACTTACTAGTTTGATCTTTGTTTTGAACAATTTTCACTTGAGACTATTGGCCACACTATGCCTTGTGTGTCGAATATGTTTCCCTCGACAGACATTACCTCTTTAACCTTTACTTTTACATAATTTTTCTGCCATTATCACGAATTGGTTAGTTATATAAATGATTGGAATAAACTATTACATAATTGAATTATGGGTTGCATTTTTATCAATGTGATTGCATCTTTGAAGTGCACGTCTCGACCTCCTTTTGTCCTTGGTCATAAGGAATTGTAGTGTGCCCAATTTCTTCATCAATGTCCAGAACAAGAAGGGTCCAATGGTCTGGTACATTTGAACCACTTTGCTCATTTGAATTCATTGGAAACACAAGGTATTGGTCGTTGTTACCGGGCAACAGAAACTTGTCAATTTACTATTGTCTAGTTTCTGCTTGATTTGGGTCATGAACTATTGTCTGCATATTGAAGGCATATAAATAAGATGTGACAAAATTAATTCAAGAGAAGAAAAATGAATAATGGTCTTTTATAACTTTCAAACAATTTTTTACCCAACATAAACTGTTGATGAATGTACAACGTATTTTGAATGTGGATGTTTCATCGCATTTGTTATGTTCTTGTGACATATCTCCGCAACATCTATCACCTATTGCAATACAACTGGATTCAAAAGATCATCCAAATGATAATCAAGTCCTTTTTTCCTTTTCTTTCAGGATAAATGCCATTATAATTTAAACAACATTTTCAAATACCAACATACTTACCGTGTTATAAAGTTTATTTCCCCCAATCACATTCATTGCATCTTCAACATCTATGTAACTGCCATATCCAATCCTTGACAATATTATTGCCCCACAAAATGATAAAGTAATTAACTTAGTGTCATACTACTATGCTGGCTTTTCACTTATGTTTGGAGCAATCAACAATAACACATTTCAAGAAGTGTTACAGTACAAATCAATCAAGGACACATTATAAACACATTTGATATTGATTTTTTTGGGTTCTTGAAAATTTGATTCTTACGTGTAACCTTCTGCCTTATAGATTTTGTCAATAAATTAACTTAGTGTCAAACTTTTGCAAGCTTTCCACATCTGTTTTATATCTCTTTTGGATTTACCTTTGATAATGGTGGATTTTTCACTTGTGTCATCAATGTCGATAATGTCAATTGCTTGTTGCTCGATTATTTGGGTTTTGCCATCCTTTTTTGGTGAGTCCACTGATCCCACATTTTGATGTTTTCCTTTTTCTTTCCAACTGAAATCAAAATCTATTTCTCTTCTTCTTTTTCGTTATTTTTTCTTGATATTTTTCACCATTGATGTTTTCTCTTTTATGGGGACCCCCTGTTGGGCCTACAACACTTCTAGTTGTTATTTCAAAAACGTGTATGGGATTTGAAGTTTCTTAGCGTTGTCGTGTAATGGCATGGACTGACAGTTCATTGATTTGATCAACTAAAACTTCAATTTTGGCCTTTCGATGTTGAATTGTTTCTTTTGATGCTTGAATTTCATCCTGGAAAGCATAATGATCTTTCTTTTCTTTGGCGACCATTTTTTGGATTGGTGTTTGCAAGGCTTCGTTCTCATTTGTCAGTTCCACAAGCTTTTTGCTCATCAATTCATCTCTCTTCTTTAGCTGACAAGTTTCTTTATTACATTATCCCTCTCCCTGATAATATCTTATTTGTCAAACTCTATATGTTGTTTGTTTTTTGATTTACTTTGCTTGTAATATGTTTCATGATAATTTAGTTTGACTCATAAACCACAACTTCAAGGAGAGATTCGAATGCATGTTATTCCTTTTCATTATCATCAATCTTATCCAAGATGTCTGCATTATCGTCAAGTAGTGTGTCATCTTCTTGCCATTATTCCTCTTCAACATTGTTTTGTTTTTTAGTAACAACACATTCCAAATCTATTTTTGCATGTTTTTTCTTGGCTTTATTCTTTAGCACCTTCCTTTCTTGATTAGTTCTCTTCCATCGTTCTTTGAACACCTGCGGAACAAAATTTTTTATGCATGTAATTGTCACGTAGTATGGGAACAAATAATTTATAGCATTAATCAAATTGTTACACTGTGATATTACACTGCAAGTTGATATCAGTCAAAATCCACAGTGTGACTAAGCATCCGATAAACAAATTATGTAAAATTCATTTCTCCTATTTACCATAATTAATCATACAAATACATGTAACATCAAAACTTGTAACGCCCCAAAATCCCCCTTGGACGACATTACAATCTAAAAACCATTCACAACACTAGAGCAGCTAATAATATCCATAATTAAAAATAATTTCATTCATCATCCACAATATCTACAGCGTTGTTCAAAAGAATATGCTGAACTATGACATCTACATCCCAAAAGAATCAAATTTAAACTTTGTAGCAGAATAACAAAAGATTAGTCTTTACATAATCTCAAAAGAATTTCTTAGTCTAGTACCTAAGAGAGTATTAAGCTAGACGTCCACCTCGGGATCCACGAGCCCATCTAGTGGAGCTTCCCAATGTATTGGTTCCTCAACTCCGAGCTCCTCGTCTAGACCACAATTTTAAAAATATATATTTTGTAAGGGGTGAACACAAAGCTCTGTAGCAACATTCCTCTCAAACTCGAACAAGATTTAGAAAATGTATAAAGCAAGTCGGCCTCATTTTGCAAATATCATATATCAATTTCTAAAATAAAATCGGGACATTTCAATGG